GGTGCGATGGGTTGGAGCAGGGTGGGCAGGGGCTGTAGGAGTGCTGGCTCTCGTGCTGTGAGGCAGGTGAGGGCCAAGCCATCCCAAGTGACTTGGCTGTCTGTCCTTGCTGTCCCCAGAATGCCTCCTACCTTGCTCGTCCGGATGCCGACCTGCCCGTGTGCTTCCAGCAGACTGTGCTGGTCTGGGTCCCCCTTGGCTTCTTCTGGATTTTGGCTCCATGGCAGCTCCTGCCCATGTGCAAATCCAGCACCAAGAAATCATCTGTGACCAAACTCTACATCATCAAACAGGTAGAGTGGGGCTGATGGGACACAGAGCGCAGGCTGGAGCAGCCTGGGGTGGAGGGGTGGTGAGTGGAAAGCCACTGGGCTGGAGTCAGGTGTGGGATGGAGAGATGAGAAGTGTAGGAAAAGGAGCAATGGGCTAGGGCACCATCTGGGACAGAAATGTAAAGGGGGGCTCAGGATGAGGCATATCTGCAACAGAGGGGATAACAGGGCGAGGATGCACTGGTGGGAAGGGCAGAGTAGTGTACTCGGGCCTTTTATCTTGTGGGCTGTTATGCTCCAAGCTTAAAATGATGGCAGTGCTCGTGTGGAAGTGCTGCAGCTTCACAGGGCCCTAGAAAGCTCTCCCAGGCCAGGATTGGGTTGGAAAGGGTGTAAGGGTGGACGGGACACAGTGCTTTTATGCCCAACTATGTTGTCTCCCAGTGGTTCCCAGTGCCCGCCATGGCCTGGATCTCTTGACGGCTGTTCCCCTCTCCATGCAGGTGCTGGCTACCTTGCTGATGCTGACAGCAGTGGCGGAGTTGGCCCTGGCATTTGTAGAGGACACGGAGCAGGACCCCCTGCCAGCTGTCCAGTACACAAACCCTAGCCTGTATATTGCCACCTGGGTAAGGGATCAACTGGTAACTGTGCTGTGTGTCACCAAAGGGACAGGGTGTGAGACCATGGGGCCAAGCAGCAGAAAACTTCTCTAGCACAGAGATCAGCGGGAAGCCGTGTAGCCTGGAAGATGGGTAGGGACTAGCCCTGAACATGTGTGGGTGGTGCACAAGGATGGTATGTTGAGGGCATGTGTTTGGTTGTGCAGTGCTCCCTCCTTTTATCCTTAAAACTGGGATAGATACTACGCCTGTGAGTGTAGCTGAGCTTTCTGGCAGAAGCCTTAGTAGCAGCAGTGTGGGTTTCACAGCAATGATTGCACAGCGTGAATATCAGACCATGGCTTGCTGCTCTGATGTCTCACAAGTTTTTCATGGGTTGTTGCTCAGTTTTGTGCAGAGAGTTGGGAAATGCCTCCCAGGCAGAGGAGAAAGCTGAGGACATAGAGTCTATTAGCTTGATCGAATATGTGCATGAAATTGCAGAAATCTGGTGTGAGATCTGGGATATTCTAGCAGCCTTAACAAAGCCAAAACGCTCAGGAGGTACACTTAAAAGCGAAAGTAACACCTCTGTTTGCTATCCTTCGTATTTTGTTGTGTCACTTAGTTTCACGTGCGGATTTCATGTGAGATGATAAGCCAAGGGGACAGCCCAGAGGGGTTGTGCTGCTGGGACTCTGATCTGGCTTTAGTTCCAGGTCTGGAGGCAATATGCAGGAGATAGGGTGTGACCCCTGACAGCTGGACATGTCTGAGAATTTAGAGTGAGAACAGCTAAAAAGAGAAATACTGCCCTGCTGTAATGTCAGCGTGCCTTCAGACCTTGCTTTTCCTGTGAGGAACCTGATCTTATGTCTTCCTGAAATAAACCTTTGCCCCATGCAATTAACTCTGAAGCTTATGTAGGGTTGACTGTGAGTTCAGGCACTGGGAGCTTAGTGTCTTCATGGCAGTGAATCTCAGCAGATCACACATGCTGGCATCCCAGAACACATGCTCCAAAGGCACGATTAATGCCCAGACCTAGTCCTGAAGCCCTACCTGAACGTCTGACTGAGTTTCCTTCCCCCAGCTCCTGGTCCTGCTGATCCAAGATGCGCGACGCTTCTGCTTGTGCAGAGACTCAGGGATACTTTTCTGCTTCTGGACCCTGTCCCTGCTGTGTGGGATATTGCCGTTCCAGTCGCTCCTCCGGAGAGCCCTGCAGGTTTGACAGGAAGCTTTGAGCTTCCCCATGGTCTTGTTCTGTTCCCAAAGAAAGTCACTTCAGACTTCAACTCTTGACAAGATCTCAGTGGTACCACTGAGGTCCCAGCTGCCCTAGGAACCTTGGGGAACCAGAAGAGACCTAAGAAGGAAATGCTGTTTAAATTCCTCTTCTCTCTTTAGGGAGGCATAAGCTCTCCAGGACCAACTTCTCCCCTTGTGGACTTATGGGAGGAGGTCAGGGAGAAGCAGGGAGGGGTTGTGAAGGGAAGCTGAGCCAGGACCCAGAGCAAGTTTTGCACTGCCTTGTTGGGCTCAGCTTTGTTCACTGGGGTTGGACCTTGTCTCTAAGCACCAAGTGGCCTTGAGACAGGCCCCAACAGTCACTCTGGGCTCTCCATTCCTGCAGGCACCAATCTCCGATGTGCCACGGTTTGTCCTTTTTTTCATCTCCTATGGGCTCCAGCTGCTCCTGTTCCTTGTCTCAGGCTTCTCAGACACTGCCCCAGAAACAAAGGAAATCAGGAAAAAGGTGCGAGGTCCATGCGGGAGTGCGCTCGGGGTGCCACATCCCTGCTGATGTGTGGGGCAGGGTGGGCTCCATGCAGAGACTTCTCCTCGCCCCCATGGGAGGGAAGACCTGAGGGCTTCAGCGAGAGGCACAGTGAGAACTGGAGCCTGCACCCTGGGGCATCTGCATGTGTGGCCAAGGGTGGGCTGTTTCTGGCTGTGAGATGGGGTTTCTGGGGCTGGAGCTGGCACAGTTTGAAACCTCTGGGGTTCCTTAATGGCTGGGGATGCTGAGTCAACTCTTGGCAACACCACCCCTGAGCATCCATGATCTCTTGGTACCCACTTTGCTTTGTACCCTAGAACCCAGAGGTGACAGCCTCCTTCCTGAGCTCCATCACCTTTGAATGGTACACCAGGTGAGCAGGGCTCTGTGGGAGGTTGGGCTGGCGAAATGCAGGGGTGCTGTAGGGCTGGCCCAGCCCTGTTTAGGGGAGCCTGCAGCACAGGCTGCTTGGAGTTAGTTGTGAGAGGCACTACATTTGGTGCGGTCTGTGCAGCCTGAGCTCGGGGCAAGGCTGGGTGTGAAGGCTCTGCATTTGCAGCAAGGACTCTCCAACAGGTGCAGTGCAGGAAACTTGCTGAGGGGACATTTCTCTGCCCCACAGCACCGTTTTCAAGGGCTATCGCAAGCCCTTGGAGATAGAGGACATATGGGAATTGAAAGATAAAGACAAGACGCAAGCTATTTACGCTGGTTTGGAGAAGAATGTGAAGACTGCGGTGAGGAAGGCCCAAGCAGAACTGGAGAAACGGAAACGAAAGAAAAGACGCTGGGAAGGTGGCCCAGACCATGGGAACAACATGAGCAAGGCCCAGAGCCAAGACATCCTGGTGCTGGTAAATCCCTTCATACTCTTGGCCTTGCGTGGGACTAAGAGATCCAGGTCCAACCTTGGGGAGTGGGGTCACCTCGCCTCCCTGCAGCCCCCTTTGCTGGGTTTTCCCCTCTTTGATTCTGGAGGACCCTGGGCAAGAATGGGGGAACCCATGACAGGGTCTTTCCTGGCCTTGGCAGATGCCCATGTTTTGAGAGACCAAGAAAGTCTCCATCCTTCTGCCCTACAGAATGACAGGAACCACCCTCAAGTCTGCAGTACAAGCAGCTCCCTCATCTCTGTCTTTACCTACCCCAGATACCTCCCAGCAACAAGGTCAGAGTGAACATCACTCTGTGATCACCCCTGGCCTCAGATTCTTCCTGGGGTGCCTGATTTTTGACCTGGGAGGTTCAGGCTGATCTGGGGTTTGCAACAATTGTCTTTGGCGCACAAGAGAGGTGTTAGTACTGGGGGTGTATGACATGAGCAGAGATCAGCAAGAGGGAACATGACAGGAGGTAAAGCTAAGGCTTCACTCAGCATACGTGATCTGGGATCTGTGGCACTGCCCTGGAAGCATCCTTCCGAGTACAGGAAGCCTGCACAACCAGCTCCTGTACTTCTGTGTGGGCTTCCCTCTAGGAGGAGAAGCAGCCGAAGAGGAAGAAGAAGGGAGACAAAGGGGACTCTGGCCCTCGCAAGGATTACCCCAGGGGTTGGTTGGTGAAGACGCTGTGCAAGACCTTCTGGCAGAACCTCCTGCTATCAGTGGCTTTCAAGCTGGTGCATGATGGACTTGTGTTTGTCAGCCCCCAGCTGCTGAAGTGAGTCCTTCCTCCCTGTCCCTGTCCATGCCCTGTCCTGGCTTTGCACCCAGCCCCACCACCTCCCTATGTGCACTGCATCCAATCCCATCATCTCCGTATGTATACCTCTCCCAGCCCCACACCCTCAGGACTTTTTGTGCCCTCACCAAAGGTGTTAGAATGTGTTGGGCTACAGTTTAATGAAGAACTGACCTGAGCTGGCTGCCAGCTTTTACGGGTAGTATCTTACCCCCTGCTCCCTACATTCTTTGTTATGCAGTCCTGCTCCCTCCTTGGAGACAGTCCTGGCTCTTCTTTGGGGCCCTTCATGAGTCAGTCCAGCTCAGGCCAACAGGACCTGCCCGGTTTGGTTTGCAGAGCCACAGAGTCTCTGTGGATGATCTGACTTTAGTGACCCACTGCTGTCTGTGAAATGCAGTGCCCCTGGCAGAACAGGGACACCCAGCAGAACAGGGGTCCCCAGCTTGCTGAGCATCGAGCCAGCTGTCTGGAGCAGGGTCTCTGTCACTGCTCTTGTGAGGATGCTCTCTCTGTGTTGGTTTGGAACATCCTGCTCAGGTCTGTCTCAGTAGGGTGCGGGTCTCATGGGCTTCTTTACCCTGCAGGTTGCTGATCGCCTTTGTGTCAGATGAGGAGTCCTTTGCCTGGCAAGGCTATCTGTACGCCATCCTGCTCTTCCTGACGGCGGTGATCCAGTCCCTCTGCTTGCAGCGGTACTTCAGCTTGTGCTTCCAGCTTGGCATAAATGTGCGTGCCAGTCTCATCACTGCCATCTACAAGAAGGTTGGTATGGCCCTGTCATCACCCCCCTTGACTTCCTCCAATCTGGGCTGGGGGTACCAGCATCCGTTGCCTGCCCCATCAACCTGTGGCAACTGGGGTGTATGCCCTTTACTTCCCAGGAAGGCACAGGGAGAGCTTGGCTTGTGGGACACCCACCCAGCACTGAGGACACTGTGGGTGCCAGTTCTGCCTGGGACCTGGGTGCTGCAGCCATGTGTTTGGCAGCTACCGGGGGCGGAGGGAGGTTTCTCTTCAGAACAGTGCAACACCTAGGGCAGCTGCCACTGGGATTCCTGCAGGGGATATGTTTCTTTGCCCCCAGCGCCCAGCGGTTCATGGTGTGCAGGCAGCGATGATAGCACCTGTGGCCAGCAGAGAGGCACCAGGAGCAAACCCAGGAGTAGTTTCAACCTGGCCTACTAATTCCTTGCTCTGTGACATGCTGCTGGCAGCCAGGCTGCTCCCAGACTGGCTTGCAGTGACTATGCTTTCTCTCTCCAGGCACTCACCATGTCCAGTGCCACCCGTAAGGAGTCCACGGTGGGAGAGACTGTGAATCTGATGTCAGCTGACGCCCAGAGGTTCATGGACATGGCCAACTTCGTTCACCAGCTGTGGTCATCCCCCCTGCAAATTATCCTGTCCATTGTCTTCCTCTGGCAAGAGCTGGGCCCCTCTGTCCTGGCTGGCATCGCAGTCATGGTGCTGCTCATCCCCATAAATGGGTTCCTGGTTGCCAAGGCCAAAACCATTCAGGTCAGTGGTGAGTGCAATCCTACTCCTGAGACCCACTGTTGCTCCCCTCACTCATTTTCCACACTCCTCTACCCTTCCCTGTCGTGCTGAGGATCTTTCCCATCCTAGGAAGTTCATCTGACTTGGGCTGGGGGTGTCTCCAGCCTGAGCCAGGGGATGGTCAGCTGAGGTGAGCAGGAGGCAGGTGAGACCTGTTCTACCGTCACAGCTGAACTTGAACAGGACTGAGAGCAAGATATTACCAACCACAAAATAAAGCTTTAGCTTCTACCTGACAACAGGGTGCTGTTTTTTCCCAGGTTGTCCAGAGCCTCAGGGAGCCAACGTCCAGCTTTGTGGGATGGCTTCTCTGGGCTCTGGAGTCCACCTTTCCCTTGCCTGTGGCAGCCCAGATGTATTTCCAAGGGTGAGGTGCTGTCTGGCTTAGGTGACCTCTGGCTCTTCTGTTTGTAGGTGAGGAACATGAAGAACAAGGATGAACGCATGAAAGTACTGAGTGAAATCCTCAATGGAATCAAGGTGAGCAGTGGAGTGGAGACCCTCCAGGCACCTGCTGCACCCCTCTTCTTGGTGCACTGTACCTGGAGGCAACACACCTGTGTAACCCTACAGCACCAGCATTATAGTCCAGTTTGGGGCCCGTGTGTCTAGGGTAGCCAAGCCTCAGTCTCTGCAATTCCCTTGGCTTCCCCACCTTTTGAAAGGTTGGCTGGGGAGGAGCTCTGGGTACCTGGGCCAGACTTGGGAGCCAAGAGAAGGTTTTCTGTGGATTTCCTGGATGGCTGTGGTGGTGAGCAGGCTGCCATGGTGGCAGGGGGCCTGGCAGTGACCTGTAAGCCGAGGATGAGGGTGTGGAAATGCTGTGGGCAAGTGCTATAAGCCATGGGACGGGACAGGAGAGGGGAGACGCAGTGGCCAAGCAGGCTTCTGGGCAAGCCAGGAGCTGGTGATGGAGGTGCTGGCCACCAGTGAACTGAGTG